AAAATTTTAATTCTCACAAGCAATTTAATAATTATTCTAATAGTACTTTCAAAATAATGCTTTTAAGATTTTGATTCACAGAGGAAGCACCAAAATTTTGTTATCATTTTAATTGACTTTCAAAATACTCAAAGATATTTATAAAATTTAAGAAATATTCAAAGAGAAACTTTCAATATCTTAATGATAATTCAAAGTATTAATAATACTTATGACTATTAGACTAAATGTGAATAAGTACTAAAAGTACTAGTAACAAAATCACTTAAAAAATTGATAACAATTGTGTTCTTTAAATGTAATAATCTGGACTGCTAAAAAAAGTTCTCAAAATCTCAGAGTCAAAGTTATAGAGATTATAATATTTGTATTATCAACAATATGAGATCAAAAGTGAATAATGTATTATCAATAATACAAAATCAAAAATAAGTTTATGAGCAATATATTATCAGCAATATAATTTCAAAGACAGATTTATAAATTATAATAATAATTTTTTTATTTAATATAATATTCAATAGATTTTGTTACAAATATGTTCAGATAATTTAGTATTAAAATAATAGCTTTTATAGTATTCCTGGCAAACATGCTTAAGCTATTATAATATTAATTCAAGATCTGTATAATACTTATAGCAACAGTGCTAAAGTGATTATACAAGAAACAAGAATACTTTGTTAAAAATGTGTAAAAAGAAGTTTGCACTTGATTACTTACTCTATATAAAGTGCAAACGTTACTTCTTTGAACAATCAAAAGTACATGATAACTAATTAGACGTGATAATTAAGAATTATTATCTAAAAGAACTTGTTCATATCTAATTTTAATAACTATGATATATATAAATTCAAAATATAGTTTATTAGTTATATGAATTCATGTTCACTATATCACTTAAATTTTATTAATCCAATATTCACTTATTCATTTGCTCATTCACTCATTCATTTACTTGTTTATTTGTTTACTCGCTTATTTATTTGCTTGTTTTACATGATTAAATTTTTCCAATAAGATATAAGATATTTATAATCCAATAATATTAAGTATGAATAATTCAGTATAATATTCGATCAAAGTTCATTATATAATAATATAAAAATAAAAAATATTTATTAATAAAATTAAAAATTTTTATATAAAAAAAATTTATATTTTATTATATTTAATTAATAAATTTTGATATTATTACATTATTTCTGATTATTATTACATATAATTAAAATAATTTTATTAAATTAAATTAAATATTTTATATAAAGAAAAAATTTGTATTTTTTATATTAGTACTAAATTTGATTAATAAATTTTTTTTGTTATTATATTTTTTAATTCTTATTATATTATAAAATACTATTTAAAATATTTTTTTATATAAAGTATTCTTTTTGATTTTTGCAAGCAAGTTTTATATTATATTTAAATATTTAAATTTTATTTAGAATAATTAATAATATATAATTCTTATTATTTTATTTTTTTTTGAATATTATATTTTTTATATAATATATTTCTCTAATTATAAGTAAAATAAAATATTTTAAACAAAATTTTATAATATATTAAAATAAAAATTTAATAATTGAATATTAGTAGCAAATTTCTTTGTAATCAAATTTATTTATTTACTTATTTTTAATTATCTTTTATTTATATTTGGTAATATTATGAATTACCAATTACTTTATTTAATTATTACATTATTTTTATTAATTATTAATTATTAATTATTAATTATTAATTATTAATTATTATAATTTATAAATAAAAATTAAAAAAAACACTTTAATAAATTATATAAATTTATAAAATAAATGATAATATATTAAAAAAATATGTTCTGTTTATATATTAACAATCAAAATAATGCAACAATATCAAAATTTATTAATTAAATAATAAAATAATAAAATATAAATTTTTTTATATAAAAATTTTTAATTTTATTAATAAATATTTTTTATTTTTATAATTAAAACAGCTTTATCAGATTAAATCTAAAAAATCTGAAAAAAATATATATTAAAATATGTAATATTATTTTTATTTTAATATAAAATAAAAAATATTTATTAATAAAATTGAAAATATTTATATAAAGAGAAAAATCTATATTTTATTGTATTTAATTAATAAATTTTGATATTATTATATTGTCACTATATAAGACAAAAATTTTAATTTTAATTATATTTTATTAATATAATTATATATGATATTATAATTTTGAGTTACTATATATTTAATAAATAAATATTATTTAACTAGTTAAAGAATAATATCAAAAATCAAAAAAAATTTATTTAACTATTTTTAAAAAACTTATTTTTTTATATTAATATTAATAGATTAAATTTAAATCTTTATATTATATATCGTACAAATTAAAAATTTAGAAAATTATAAACTAAATATTTTTTATATACAAAATTTGTTAAATATTCTAATATTATTTAAACTTGATTTTATTTGATATTAATTAATAATAAAATTTTTTAGAATGTATTATTTCTTGAAATTTTAATTATAAAATTATTAATAATTATCAAGAACAAAAATAAGTTATCAAAAATTTCAAGAAATTTTATTTGTTGAAAAAAAAATTTATAAAATTATAAAAAATATTTAATTATACAAAATTTTTATTATATAATTATATATATTTAAAAAAATATTAAAAAATATTTAAAATTATAATTAATATATTAAATTAGTAAAAAATTATTATTAAATATATTATAATATAGTATAATAAGTTATCAATAATACAAATAAATTCAATCTATTAAACTATTAATAAAATTAATAATTAATAATTAAATTAATATTTAAATTAATATTTGAATTTTAATTATAAAAATTTTTGCAATAATTTTGTAATTAGAATAACTTTGTCAAAAAAATTCAGAAAAATATATATAAAATTATCTTTATTTTAATATAAAAATAAAAAAATATTTATTAATAAAATAAAAACTTTTATATAAGATAAGAATTTCAATTTTTACTATATTTTATTAATAAAATTATACATATAATTTTATAATTCTATTAGTTTTATATAAAAATTTTCAATTTTATTAATAAATAATTTTATTTTATATTAAAATAAAAATTATAAATTATATTTTAATATATATTTTTCTGAATTTTTTAGATTTTTATTGCAAAAATTTTATAAATTAAAATATAAAATTAATTATAAAAAATTTTTACAATAACTTTATAATTAAAACAACTTTATTAAAAATAATTTAAAAATTTAGAAAAAATATATATTAAAATATAATTTATAATCTTTATAAAAACTTTTATAAAATAAAAATTTTAATTTTTACATATATAATTAAAAATAGTATAATAATTATTGTAATAATAACAAATAAAATATAATTTAGTTATAATTAGTTATAACTTATAAAATTTTGATTTATAATAGATAACAAATAATTATTATATATTATTATATTATTTCTATATGTAATTTTATAATTTTGTTAATTATTGTATATAATTTTATTAATAAAAATTAAAAATTTTATTTTAAAGTTTTAATTTTACTAATAAATATTTTTATTTTTATATTATAATTTTTACAACTTGATAATTAATTTAAAAATTTATAATATAAAATATAATTTTAATTTTTTTTATTTGTGTTATTTTATTATTATACTTTTCTCATTTTATATACAATAACTAACAAAATTATACGTGTGATTTTATTAATAACATATAGTAAAAATTAAAGTTTTCTATCTTATATGAAAAATAATTATTAGTATAAATAATTGAAGTTATTTGAAGCAAAAAATCTAATACTGTAAGCTAAAAGCTTGTTCAAGTATATAGGAGCACAATCAAAACGCCCTGAAATTAAAGAAGCATTGTAAGGGTTTATATATTCGGTCAATGGCAAATGCTTCGTTTGATCAGCATGCATTTACGTTTCTTCCTGCAGTAAATTGTTTCAAGTTCATAGTGAAAAGCAGTCTGATGCATTGCAAGTAACGTGAAAAACTTGCAACAGACATTGAGTACTTTGCCCGACTTTGGAGGTTAAAACCATACAAATCATCTCTTTGCATTAGTACCGTCCAAAGAATTGCATGACTTCACGATAGCAAATAAACAAGTTGAATATTTGGCGTATTTTACCAAGAATGAACTTCTATCTTTGTTAAAAAAATCTGAACTCCTGAGCTTAGACTTTTTTCTCGCTTCTTTTATATTCTTCCTATTGTAATGTTTGTGGTGACATTAAATTAACATCCGATAGTTTAACTTCAAACCAAGATTTTTTAATTGACACTAAACCGGTTTATTTACTTGTTTATATGTTCAATTGCCATATACTATGTATATAAATTACAAAGATTCTTTCTATTAGAATATGTGAGGTGTTCTCATTTAAAGAATCGAAAATTTAAACTGTACAAAGAAAAATTGTTCGTGCATAAATTTGTTGGGTTTAATTTTTGGTGTAAACGAATGAGAAGCATAGTAATCAATAATTATTCGTAATACCAGCTACGAAATAACAAAGAAACACGGTGACAAAAAATAATAATGATTGATGAAGGTGTTGGAGGTTATGTGATGTGGGTACTTGTTTTGGTTTTTGTTATTGATTCAAAGAATAATAATCTACAAAAGAAAAAAATTGATATATGATACAGTAAATGAAGATATAAAAATGATGCTGAATTCTAATGAGTCGCATATTGATAACTTGGATATTTAAAGAATAATGATGATGATGATGATAAATGATGAATTATATTATAGCAATCTAATGAAAGGTAAAATGAGATGAATGCCTTGTCTCATGGTAATGTGAAGGATGTAGGATGGATGGGTAGGTGTTAAAACGAGCGACTGCAATGGCTACATTTTGTAGTGAGTTGGATCCCTTGGTGCCGATCAGAACTATTTGAAAGAATAAATCAACATATCATGTGATATATAATTCAGCATGTATGCAAGGAATTTCATGATGATGGTGAAACTTTTGTCGGAGAAGTTGTAATGGGGCGGTGATGATGGCCATACCTTGGAATATTACTATTTCCTTTATCAAGGATTGCTCGACCACTAGCAGTTGATTTCGCCAATATGACTTCCCTCTCTTTACTCTCTTGCTTCAATCGCATATTTTCTTCATATAATCTACGTGTTTCCCCAACAATCTTATTATACCGCTGTTTCACTTGATCATGTTCTTGTTCCAATTTCACTTTTTCTTGTTCAAACTTCAACAATTGTTTTTTCAAACGACTGTTCGATTTTTTCTCCTCTTGAACCTGATGAGAATACTGGGAATTAATCAGTTCACTTCGTTCGTGCGATTCTTTTAATTCCTGACGCAAAGCTTCACAATCAAATTTGTACTTGTTGCATTCACGTTTCAGCTCCAATAAATTATTGTGATAAGTTATTTCACAATCTTCCTTGACCTTCTCAGCTTCTAAAATCAAATTATTGTACTTCTCGAGCACCTGTTTACTCGCGGTTTGTAATTGCTCGATCTTGGCGGAAAGTTGCGCGTTTTTGTCACGATATTGTCGATTTTCGAATTCGAGATTGTTGGTTTTTTGTATTTGAGCGTCGTTTGTTTGACCTATCTCGGCCATTTGTTTTCGTAGCTCATTATTTTGTGAGAATAATTGTTCGTTTTCCGCGTTTAGTCTTGCCACTTGTTCTAGTTCATCATGTAGTTGTTCACGTTCGTGTTGATATATATTATTCTCACGTTTCAGATTCATTGAATCTGCAATTAGTGTCTCGTTAGCTTTCGACAATTGTGACAATTCTTTTTGAAAGTTTTCGCATTCTGATTCTAATTTTCCAAATTCAAGGTCGAGGCTTTGACGCTCTTGTATCATCTGTTCGGTTTGACTATTTAATCTCTCAACTTCTTTATGACACGCTCTATTCTCTTCTACCAAAGATTCACGTTCTAATCGCAACTCTTCCATATTTACTTTAAACATCTCGAGTTCCTTTTCCAATTTTTGAATCTGAAGCGAAAATTGGGCATTCGCCGCTTTCAACGACTCATTTTCCGAATGGATCTTGATGGATTCTTCACGAATCGCCACCACGTCTGACTTGTAACTCGTGGTTTCACGCTTCAGGTTATCTAGCTCCTGCGTGATCCGATGATTATCCGATGAAAGTTGATTCTTCACGGATAGAAGTTGCGCGAGCTGTGATTCACCGGCGGAAAGTAATTCATTTTGCTCGGTCAATTGTTGATTCTCGGACGAGAGGGTGCTTATTTTTTCGGAGAGAAGAGCGGAATTCGACTTTATTTGCTCGTTTTCCGTGTTTAAAGATTCGATTCGAGATAATAGTTCCGCGATCTTTTTTGTGTGATCTTCTAGCGTGATACCATGACTATTTTCTACGTTGCGAGTATTCGGAAACGGTTGTATTGGTGAATTTGCTTTTTCTATTATTTCGCGTGATGTTGATGGTATTGTATCTTGTTTACCACCACATGCAAATATTCCGAATAATGATTTTTTGGTTTTTGCTTTTGCCATCTATGAAATCAATAGTAATATCGATGTTGACAGTTCTATCGATGAATGGAAAAGATTAGGTGAAAATATAAAAGAATTCTGGTGGTTGCGTGTTAGAAAAAGCAATGCGCCGAATTATAATATCTTATTGGTTATATTATGTCGATAAAACAATGCAGATGAAAACAAAAATGTGATGTTATGATTATGGTAAGATATGAAGTAAGTTATTAAGAAATATAAGAATAGATTCTGCTGCTATTGTAGTAAATACAATCAAAATAAAAATGGTAGTTGACGAGAAAAAAGGTAAAATTGTGTGTGTGTGTGTGTGTGTGTGTTGCGGTTTTCAAAGAAAAAAAAAGACGAGGGATGATTATATTCGATTCGGTTCTATTGTCCGCGTGTGTGTTTTATGGATGTGTTTGTGTGGGGGGTTTTTTAAGGGAGTCGCGCAGAGAATTAATTAATTGTGATGAGTCAATATATTATCGCGTGTTTATCTAGTATCTATGATGTCTGTTCGATATCCCAAACAAAACAAAGAAGCAGCAGTACGGATAAATAAATAAAGAATAGCAGAAATAATAGTAATACGTAATATGATTTTTACGATACGTAGGTAACAATCTTTTTATTTATAAACAAAACACAACAAGGACGATTCGTGATTTGTGACAAACTTAAAATGAATGAACTTTTACCCTATATATTAATGTTATTCTATGAGATGGAACTAAAAATAAATCAATCAATCAATCAATTCCATCCATCAATAACGAGAAATCGATGCTTCAGACGCAGAATTGAATGGGAACAGAGAAAGAAAGAACCATGCAGTCAATGGAGGGAAAGGGAACAGGATGCTTCTTCCTTCTTTTTGTCTTGTGTTGTCGAGGAATATAATTCGTTATTCTTCCCTTTTCCCTCTTTCTATTCTTTTCCACTACCCATTTTCTGCGTAGATGTGTATCTATTCTATGTATGTAACCACATATGTAAGTATCATGCGATTGTGCAGGTCTTCGCATAAATATACATGTACATGTATTATATTCTAAGCGACATAAATGCAATAACATGGGAAAAGAAAGCTTTGTTATGTTTTTAGTGTCGTAATCAATAAATCGATGGAATATCCGGTATAAATTGTGTAATAACTTTTCTTCCCTCCCTTTTATCTTTCATAATCGGTTCTCAACATTATTTCGATATATCGATGACAATAAAAACACGTTTTATTCAATTTCCCATTTCAATCCGTACGTATTTGATTTCGGACAATAAATATCAGATAAAGCAAGGGAAATAAAATCGCATCGAAAAAACGGTAGACCCACCGTAAAGCGACGCGAGGCAGCAACGAAGCACAATGTAAAAGAAACAATGGGTTAGTGTGATTGAAATGACAAGAACTGCTAAATGACGAAATGGAATTCAATTTTGTCGTTGTCCTTTTTTTTTTGCTTAACTTATTCATCTGCCAAATCGAAATGAACGTTGATGATTGTTACGAAATGAGTTTCTTCCATTAAAGGTATCTGACCAATGGAGTGCATGCTTTTTTTGCAGATTGCATTGTTGTGATTGGCTGCTGATATGGCTATTGTTCTTTCTGTGTTCGTTTGTCGTCATTTAGATGTATCATAGATGTTCTCTATTGACTCATAATTTATTCAGAGAATACTCCCTAACTGTTCTATTTTATTGATGTGTCGCAAATCGTCAAACAGAGAAAATTATCATAAGATACATGAAATTCCCGAAATCACAAAAAGCGATATATAATTGTTCTGTAACCAAAACTTTAATAAACCTATAAAAAAAACGGAGGACAGTCGGTCACAAGGAAATTAATCATTATCAACTGCTATTCTCACACACTTGATAATGTGGCTGTGCTGATAATACTTATTTGCTACACGCTACGTTATCAGTTTCAATTTCAGCAAGTCAGGTAAGCATCTACTGAATTCAAAGGACAGTATGCCTATCCATCTATCCTTAACCATTATTCTTTTTCCCCAGCCCTCTTTTTCGCTTATACATACACGAACAGACGTGTACATATTTTTCGCAATGTTGAATGTTCTCGAAGCACTTATAATGAGGACGCGTCGTAGAACAATGATGAACACGCACAGGAATGCAACACGTGTATTCCCTGATGATGATAGTGATGATGACCGAAGTATCCCCGCATTTTCTCTCAAGTAAATAAAAAGAAAAAAAAAACTTGTTCTAAGTGAGATCAGGAGCAAGACAATAACAACGTTGAATGATCTGGAGAAATATTTGTCCTAACTAAAGCAACTTTTAATATACTACGTACTTATTTATTATGGTAATATAATTTTTTAATAATATGCATGCAGTAACATGTGTCTTTTATTTTGTTAATATTGAAGAAAATCACCAGAGAATACGTGGAACAGAAACGACTCAGAAATAGCATTCAAACAAAATAGCCAGTAATCGATGGAGCAACGGGATGACTTTGATCAATAATGAGCTTCTAATGATGGTGATATTACTAAGTAGTCGGTATCCTCCTCTTATCGACAATGCAGGTTCTATTCTTAACATTTTCACATGTGCATGCTTACTTGGCAACAGAATTTCTCATCAAAGATGGCGGTGGTGGTTGTGTCAAAGTTTTCCAATTTTTAATTACACAAAAAAATTAGGTTTAAACTTTGAATTTTTAATTACACGTTTTTATTCCGAGATAATGATTTCCTTTCTGTTGTATCATCACCTGAATAGGGTCTGTGTCGCGAAATCTCGCCAACTAATAATTTATTATTAGAAAGCGAAAAAGAAAGCTACCGTTCGCTAGCTAAGACATTCTATCGAGAAATGATTTTTCTCGAAACATGTTTTTCTACTTTCCGAGTATCCGATCAAATGTTCCTATTTATAATTTTTTATAGATACGTATTAATTCAGCAGAATTAATTGTCATTGTGGGCGAGCAAATCCGGATATCTATATCAAGCATTACATATGACGAGCTTTGTTTAGGTGCCATTGCTATTGACTCTTCTTCATCCCCCCCTTCTTCCTCATGTGCTTGCTTTTTTGTTTATATATGATATATGAATTATGAAATGCGTGGGCGTGTGTGAAAAAAATTAATTTACAAACACATTAAATGAAGTGTATTTATAGAACTACAACATTTTCACCAAAATCGGGGAGATGGTTGGTTTTATCAGTTAATTGTTTACTTAAATTCTTATTTTAGATTCTTTTACAAAGTAATAGATATCTATATCTATATCTCTATCTATATATATATATATATATATATATATATATATATATATATATATATAACATGAAACTTTTTTCTATACACATTTATAGAAGGGATACTCGCTCAAAGAATTATGTACCTGAAAAAAAAACTGGTTTCCATACAAGTTTTCGATTACTGAAAAATAATAGAATATCAATTTTCGTGTTTCCTTAGATTTCATGTTTCAATTAATACGTTAGTTGAACGGTTGTCTGAGAAGTGCGAAAAAAGCCATTATTATCCTATTCAAAAACGCAAAAAAAATCAACGCCAATAATACGAACATGTGGTAAATCCCACAATTTCATTAATCCTCACAGAATTAACAAACTCGGGATCGTCAAACCTCGACTTGTACTTAACATACCTTATCAGTCCGATAATACCGAGTGATAGCTTTTTAGTAGCTATATAGTCAAATGGCTCGGACTCAGATAAAATCTTGTTGGATAGTCTAATAACCACACGCAATTAATTTTCTGTTGTCTCTGTGGTTTTCGCTATTATCCTACATTTTTTGTTATATCTTGCTGCGGAATTATTTGAATTGATTTTTCAAATTGTTATTCAATGCATTAATTAATAATACATAATCAAATCGTAGTGGTCAGAAATTTTTAAAAAATCTGTTTATTTGGTAAATTCGGCAGGTTTACTATGACTATTCCTGGAACCAAATTCAGTTTACGCAAATTTTCGGTTGACTATGAATAAAATTATGGAAATTTATATATACTATATATAGTTAATCCGAAATTCCTGTGCAAGTCGAACTAGTTCGAGAATTATTGACAAAATTGCCAAATCAAAAAGGTTTTTGCCAACAATAACGTATATATATATAGAACATGTTTCCAACCTCGATTTGTCCTATTATCAATCCCAAATCATACGTTTTCAATGAACGCATACAGATATTTGGGCGGCAGCTCACGGACTTGTTTCAAAGTTCGTGTGCTGAGGGACAACCACCAGTCGGCTTACCAAATGCACCTTAGTTACGGCCTGTTTTAGCAGAATCAAGTTTTCGTGACATAAAAAAATATTAACTTCAACGACATTGCGCCAAATCGCGCGTCACTTCACGAACAAACCTATTTTTTGCCCCCAACAATTTACGATTTCCATGAAATGACAACCCAAAAGGAAAAAACCATGTACAATACGAAGAATCGTCCGTCAGTCGTCTCCCCTACTTTTCGCGCATACACGTACCGACGATCAAAGAATGATGATAAGCTTATTGTTGTCGTCGATTCTTCGCCGCCGTTGTCTCGAACGTTTGCTACTGACTAAATGATGCAAGCAAGTTAAATCCTTCAACAATGGCAAATCAACTCAAAATCTAGTAAAAAGAGAATGCCAACCAACATGAATGAGTTTCTATATGAGTCAAAGAGGATAGAAAAAGTCGAGGAATAGCAAATGAATCAACCCGGGTACCTCTAATTAAGGAAGTGGAATTGTTTCTATTATCGGACATTTAGCGTTAAATGTACTAGAACAATGGTATTCACCTTTTTATTTAATTGCAATATATCCTTTAAGGTGACGAAGGCGACGACGACGCCAACTAAAAATTTATGCTATTATTCTTATTCTTGCCCCTTAAAACAAATTTCCCGAACGGCAATTCAAATAAAAAAATCGAATAGGAAAAGGGCGATGATTCCAATAATTCCGATGATGTTCGGTGTAACCCCCTCTCAAACCAAGCACTTGACCAAAGTTTAGACTCTAATTTACGAGCACAAAACAACGTCAGACACCGCGATGCTTTCTACCACCAATGAGTTTCATAATAATTTGCAAACAAACAAGCAACGAAGGGAAAAGACGACGATGACGATGATACTTTAACTTTTTTATAAGGATCTCTCGCTCGTTGCATGAGCTCTATTGTATGCTCGCCATTATCTACATAGAATTTGATGCATATACATCCCTTTCGTATTACTTTCTATTTTCTTTTATTTACTCGGTATTGTTGATATTATGTATGCACACTAATTGGTCACTAAATCAAACAAGAGTTAGAGAGCAACAATCTTCTCCTTTATTTATTATTACTATTTATTATCTTATTATTTTGGTCTTGTCCGTTAACGTTTTTTTCTCCATTTCTCGAATCATTCACCTATTGTTCCAAAACTCAAAGAACAACAATAGCAATAATAATCAGAGTATTTATATTTTCTTTAATACAAAAAAAATGTCGTCACGAACCAAAAGTAAACCTGCACTGGAACGTCGCTTCACTTCTCCAACAGTAGTTCCGTTATCGCCGATTAATGTCGTCGGTACCGAAGAAATACCCTTACAAGAACCAGCACCCCCAGCAATAGTAAATGCCGAAATAACAAGACTTCACAAAGAGTTGGTTGCTGCCATAAAATCCAATAAAAAACATTCCTCGAAAGTAGCGCGACTGGAATCAGAGGCAAAAACTTTTCGGGCTTCCATAACGAAACTTACTTCCGAGAAACAGGAAATACAATCGAAAAAAGATGAAAAAAGCAATGGACTCTTGCAGGAGAATACTTCATTGAAATCGAAGTTCACCGCCGCGCAAAAAGAACTTGTTCGTCTACGTAGGAAAAACGAAGAGCTCGCCAATGGGGCGGGTGGTATTAAAGGTGGAAAATCGGAAACACAAACGACAGACGTGGAATCCTTGCGTAATGAATTAAAACAAGTTCAGAATGCGAATAAAAATTTCAAAATGGAAGTGAAGAAATTATCGACTGATTTTGAACAAGCCAAACAACAGAGTGATGAATATAAACGACAAATGATGAGAACGGAGAAAGAATGCAATGCATTGAAAGAAAGCAATAAAAAATTAACAATGGAGAAGAATCGGATTGAACGAGAACATAAAGAATCAAGACAACAAGTTGATCAGTTGACTTCTCGAAATCAACAACTGGTTCAAAAAAGTTTAAACCTTGGTGCGGAAAAAAGTAGATTGAAATCAGATTTAAATTCACAACAAGATGAATACGTGCAATTGAGACAAACAAATAGAAAACTTGCAAGTGAAAAGAATAGTCTAAAACGTCAGAGTGGAACATTTAATTTTAAAATTGATCCAAACCTATTAGCTAAAGATCCAGTTACAAAGGGGGATAGTAGTAGTAGTCGTTCTATGTCGGAAATGGGGGACACGACAATTGCCGTTGAATTGGAAAATGCTAAAAACGAGATTAATGAACTACGAAAACAAATCTCAATAATACAAAACGAAGGTAAATCATTAACAGAAACAAATCAGCAGCTGACCAAGGACAAAGATCAACTAGAAATCACAATCAAAGAATGCCGAGAAAAGATCGAGGGACTTGTTGCTTACAACAAACAACTGATCGATGAACTTGAGAATCTATCAACAACACATCAACAATCAGAAATAAATAGTAATTCACGTGAAGCCGAGTTATTATCAAACATACAAGAATTGACAACACTCGATGCTCAAGTACAAAAAGAAATATCAAAGCTTCGACAAGATTTTGAATTGATGAAGGACAATAATATTCTTTTAACCAACAAAAATGAGTACCTGGAAAGAACAATCACAGAATCACGCGAACAGATTGAACAACTCGCATCACGTAATCAACAATTACGAGAAGAAAGTAATAATGTAACGACTCAATATGGTGAACGTGTAAGTTATAGTAACGGGCGCGAGAAACAATTGAATTTACGTATCAGTGATTTAGAACAATTAAACAAACAGCTTCAAGATCAAATTAATCTCACTAACCAAACACGTGATTCAATTCAACAAAATTATTCGCAATTCGAACGCGAGATTCATGATTGTCGTAATCAGATTGACCGACTATCTTCACAAAATCAGAATCTAGTGGAAGAGTGCAATAGTCTCACAAACAAATATACCACATCGCTCGGATCAGATTCAAGTCGTAATGCTACAAATTCAATTGTTCAAATGTCAGGTGATCTTTCAATAAAAGTCAGTGAATTACAGCAGCAAAACGAGGAACTTGATAGGAAACTAGCGGATGTGAAACGTGAACGAGATGAAGCGAAAGGAACATATCTTGTTCGTACGGCTAAAATGCAAGCTCAAATTAAAGAGTTAAAGAAAGAAGCGAGTCAATATCGATTCGCGTTGGCAAGTCGAACCGATCTTTCCGCAGTATGATTAAGATCATATAAACATAACTGATTATATTTTATTTATTTGCTTATTTTATTCTTTAACTTAATGTGTCCCACAAAAAGGTTGTAAATTTTTGTATAAAATGATTTTTCAGCTTTTCTTCGGCATCATCAAATATTTAATTAGTTTCGCATAATTTGATCTTTGGGAGGAGTGTGTCTTTGGTGCAGAAAGCGAAGAAACGGATTATATTGGGAGGAGAGGAGTGAAGGAGAATTACTGTATATTAATAATTCAATCAGAGCATAACCACACATACATACGTACATACTATTATTTCTTTTGACCTGCGCACTATGTATGCGCCATAATGGTGAATCGGAAAAAATTCATAAGAAACAATAAATGATATTCATGTGATTATGTTTCTCTGGGCTTATATTTTATTATTTGTTATTATGCAAGTCATTGAATCGAACCAAAAGCTGGAGTAAAACACATCGATATTTGTTAGGACATTTTATGTTCATAATAGATTGATGGATCAATCATTATCTCCGTAGTGTGTTACGCACTTGATGAACAGGCAAAAGATCCTGTTTCGGTAGTATTTAGTTCTTTTTAAAAGTGTAAGAAGGGGATGTAAGAATGCGTGAGCTGACTGACACAAACGCCCGATTATCATTATTGTTAATTCCAAATGTTGTCATTCCTCCACACTTTACCGTCATGCAATAAATTTGATTCGTCGGTCACACCCTAGCATTTATTTATTAAATAACTGGCTGCGTATTATACGTATTATACGTATTATCGCTATATAGGAGTAAAGCCTAAAAAACACCTAAAAATACTAAAATATTAAAAATATTTATACGCACACACTTCTTTTAAAATACGCAAATATTTCTCGATAAAAATGTCTGACATAAAAAAAGATATCGATATTGATATTGATACCTTGGTTGTTGTTGATAATGCTAATAACGATAACACCAATACTACTAACACTAATAATGCATCCAATAATCAGCTACCAAAAGAATCTTTGCCTCTCGTTTCCTTTCCAAATAACAAAATCATCATTAACAATATCAACAATATTAACATCAATAGTAATAATAATAACAACAGCAACAATAGTAAGAGTGATCAAAGCACCAAACCCAATAATAGCACAAGGAAATTAAAAGGAAAAGTTATCAATAAATCCGTTGAAAAATTAAAGAATGAACAAAAGTATTATTACCAACAAAAACAGCAAAAGCAAAACCAGAAATCAACAGATGATGATAATGGACAATTATTATACACTGAACCAACTAATTTCGATGAATTATCACCGTCGCCATCACCAATTCAATATAACGCGGAACAAAAGTCCAACGAGCTCGATGATATCTTTAATCATATAATGTCCGACATTGAATTATTGCAACAAGAACAAAATGACACAGAAATTCCACCACTTGAGACAATACATAAAGTACTCGAAGAACAAGATGATCTTCCGACAAAATATCATTTCTTAATGCGCGAATACACGTCATTACGAAGAAAATCTTCAAGTCTATTCACGATGACGGAAGAACCGAAAATTCTCGAATCATCACAAATAATCGAAGATCCACCGAAAATAAGCCCGCTACAGCCGGCGAATTTTCATGTATTCAGCGCAAAAGATTATATTTTATTTATTGTGTTTATTTTGGGGTGTTTGTTTTTTGTCGCGATGATTGGATTTTATGCGATACGTGAGATGAAATATAATGATATATATAATTACGAGAATAATAATAGTCTAATGATTTTGATGGAGAATCCACTTGTCGAAGGTAGACCACTAGCACCGGCAAAAGCAGTAAATCACAATCGAGGAAGTAAGATTAACAACGGCCCTGAAGTTTATTATCCAATCTCATCATCGAGAAAAAATGAAAATAAAAACGGTTGTCCTTTTGATTCGACTCATGCTGATGCCATTAGAACAACAGCTCCAAGTGCTGGTCAGCCTAAGTGTTTTCATTTCTTGATTTTTCATTTCTGTACTGGGAAATCCGGTGACGAGAATAGCTGGTTTTCATCTTAGCGTTAGGGATATTTCCTCTCAAAAGTAGGATAAAAATTTTTTACTTTTTATAGAATTGAGATATTATGGACAATTTTAAAACTATTTTAGTGTTCTCGGTAATTTTAATAAAATTAATCGAAAAAATCCCGTTCGTCTATTGTTGCTTCAGCTTGTGGTATTTCGTATTGACTGCAAACATCACAGTAGTAAGACTAGAGAAACAAAAGCGAGAAAACAGAGAGTAAGCTCTAGCAGCGTCAGGATTTCAATTAGATCCTGTCTTTGGGCAATTTCCTTGATCCGTGTACATTCTCATCATATTCGAACTCTTTATTTGTCAGAATTGAGTCTGAAGCATTTACTCCGCTTGTTAGAGAATTGCAGAAACTCGGACTTTCGATGATAATTTTAGAAATATTAAATATAAATATAAACTATCTTGTATCAATTTGTAATGAAAAACAAGAATTACAATTTAGCGTTAGAACCATTTTTATATTTCTATTATTGAAATTCGCAACTAAAATCAAAATTTGCCTGTCTGGAATATTCTACATGCTGCTTTTTCATTGGCTTCACGTGTAAATTGTCATGTGAATAATGACTCGTATGTCCAACATTTATATTTTATAAAATGTATAAACTTCTCAACTAAGAAGAATTCAAATTTTAATCTGTAAAGAAAAGCTTATTCTACCATATTTACGGATTAAATTTTGAATTTACTTCTTAGTTAAGAAGTTTATACATTTATAAAATACAAATATTTGATGCATCACACTTGAATTTCGATGTCTATAGTACCGGGGTATTATTCAAAATGCTTGTTGAAATTGATTAGTACCTGGTATTATACTAATAGGCAGTGCTTTACTACTTCTCTCAAATGCATTTTTAGTAATCAACCTGATGGTAGCAATCTAAGTCATCCAGAACATTTCTTCGATTGGGCAGTAGACAAGTTGCCGCCTTTAATGCTGTAGGTTCTGGTGTTGTAAATTCTCAAACAATTGTTTGGAATTATGGAAAATTTATTATTGGTAAAAATATATATTTAGTAATTATTGATTATTTTTACGTGTTTTAATAGAACCAGTTAACTCATTCCACAATTCTGATATTATACTTGGTAATGACTACTCTTAAAAGTTGGCATTAAAATTTTGTTAATTTAAAAATGCTGTTAAAAGAAGTGCAAGTACAAAGACATTAAATTTTGTTTATTAATCATACCATTGAAAAGTGAAGTTCAGCTATTCCAAACGCTACATTGAATTGATAATTCACTTTATATGTATATTTAAAATATTTAAACTTAAAAAACGCATTTTTCAAGAAAAATTTCGATTATTAGTAATGATCATATACTGTGCGTCTTATTAATTTATTATTTATAACTATAAATTCGAGTACAGTCAACTCTCGTTAAACCGACTATATTTTTCTTCGATTTAATGGGAGTTAACTAAATATTTTAATTAAATATATATAATCTAGATAAAATATGTGACTGTGAACCTATATTATATTTAAAGATACATAGCCAACTCTTGTTAAAATATGGTCGGTTTAACGAGAATTGACTGTATTTATATAAATCAATTAATATTATTATTTCCAAAGTTAATAGTAAATTTAGTAATTTTTCACTGGTTCTTATACAATTACAAATTATAATGAATTTGTATAATAAATTTACTAAAAAATTAATATTCATTTTTATTGGCTATTTTAAAATGTATAAACTTCTCAACTAAGAAGTAAATTCAAAATCTAATCTGTAAATATTATTAGCTTATTAGTAAGTTATTGGATAATTTATTATATTATTAATTATAATTAATATTATCTAATATTTATTTATTTAGATATTTAGATATATTTATTTATTTAAAAAGATATTTATTTCTAAAAATATATAGATATTTATTTATTTAAATATTTATTTATTAATAATTATAATATAAAATTTTATATATAAGAATATTTTTATCTTATAAATGAAATAATTAAAAAATTATTTTAGTTTAGACTTTGAATAGTTTAATTTATTATTTTTGTATTATATATTTTTTATAATTTATTATAAAATATTAATATAAAATAATAATAATATAAAAATATAGTAATAAAGAAATATTATTAATAAAATTTATTTTGAATTCTTGAATTTTATATTACTTGAATCTCTTAAATTTAAATAATCTCTTGATATTTCAAAGATTTTTATTAAAATTATCTTTTTTATATAAATTAAAAATCAAAAAATTAATATAATACAATTAAATATCTTTATGATAACACTTATTTATAGTCATATCTAAAAATAATCTTTAAAATAACATTATTTAATTAAATAATTTGCTGAAATTAACTTGCTAAAATTAAATTCAAAATTATTTTGATTAATTTTATTAGTAATTAAAATTGTTTTTTTGAAATTATTTGAATTTTACAAACTAAAGTATTTTTAGATAATTTTTAAGTATTTATTAGTATAAATAATATAACCAAATCAAATTACTTGCTAAAATACTATTTTTTTCAAAAATAATTTAAATAACTATTTTTAGTTACATCTCTTTATAATAATTATATTTTGCTTTTTTATTTATATATAAATATAATAAAAAAACTTCTTTATAGTTATATCTAGAATTTCAAAAAAAGTCTAATTTAGTTTAAATTTGATTTAATTTGAGCTTGAATTAGATTCAAATTTAACCAAAAGTCAGATTCAAAAATATAAATATACTTAAAAGTCTGATTTGAGTTTGGTTCAAATTTTGAACCAGATTTGAACCAGATTAAAAATCTGATTTGAGTTCAAGTAAATATTTGATTATATTTTAAGAAACTTATAAATTATAATTAAATTACAAAATAGTTAATATTAAAATAAATATTCAAAAAGTTATATAAATTTAAAAAATATTTTTAATTATTTGTAATTTTAATTTATTTTATTTATACTATAGTAAATATTTATTTATTAATAATAATTATAAACTATAATTCTAAACAAAATTATAATTAAAAATAAAAACTATAAGATAATTACAGTCAAATTTCTCTATAATTACATTTATTTATAGTTATATCTTTTATAGTCACCTTATTTTGCTTTTTTATTTATATATAAATATAGTAAAAAAATCTTTTTATAGTTATATTTTCTCTATAGTCACCAAATTTACTTGTCTAAGAGTAATAACTATAAAAGAGTTTGATTATATTATTAATAATAAATATTCAAAGAGTTATATAAAATTTATAATAAAATTTTATAAATATAAAAATAAGATAATATGTATATAAATAAAGTTTTAGTTTATATTTAAAACTATAAATTAATATATGATATTATATACTAATTATAATTCAAATTAAAATCAGACTTAAACTTATACAATAATTCAATTAAGTTAAGTTCAAATTTTGAATTTTTTTTGAACTCAAGCCAAAGTTTAATTCAAGTTCAATTCAAATTTTGAATCAGATTCAAATCTAAGCAAAAGTTTAATTCAGTTTAATTCATAAAAATACTAATCACATCCTTTTATAGTCACCAAATTTTATTTTTTTGAGAATAATAATTAATATTTTTATTAGAAATTAAAATAAGTATTATATTTAGATTATCTAAATTGTAATTATTATTTAAAATTTTTTTAAAGTAATACTGAGTGATATAATTATATAAAAAAATTTATTCAAATTTAAAAATTATAAATACTTAGTATTATTTTCATGTTTTAAGAAATATTAATTAATAAATATTTTTTTAAAACTATAAATATTTATAAAATAAAAGATAAATAATTAATATTTATCAATTAAAATTTTACAACAAAAAATTAATTTAAACAAAATTTATTATTTTAAAATAATATAATTAATTAAAAAAATATTTAAATTTCAAGATAAAATTTTTATTTTATATAATTATTTTAATTGAATAAGTAATTAACTTTATAAAGTTAATTACTTATTTAATTTAATATTTATTAATCAAAACAAATACTTATACATATAAATATTTTGTAAATATTAATAGTTATAATATTTAATTAAAATATTATTTCAATTAATTTAAATTAATAAATATAAGCAAATATAATAATTAATTTATAAATAAAGCAAAATAGTTATAATTTCAGATTTTTGTGAAAAAATTAAAATTCAATTAGTTAGTTAAAAAAAATTTATATTAAAAAAAGATTATAAATTATAATTTAATATATATTTTTTCTGATTTTTTTCTGATAAAGTTATTTTAATTGCAGAATTATTGCAAAAAATTTTTTATAATTAAATGTAAAATTAATTATAAAAATTTTATAATTAAAACAACTTTATTAAAATATAAAAATATAAAATATTTATTAATAAATTAAAAACTTTTAGAAAAGTTCAAATTTTATATTTTATTAATAAAATTACATGTATAATTTCACAATTCTGTTAGTTATTATATAATATTAATAAAATATTTAATACTAAAAATTAAATATAATATTAGTTTACTTGTTTTTATTTAATAAATAATTAATCAAGTTTTATAAATAATAAAAAAAATAAAATTATTTACTAAATTAAACAAAATAATATTAATTTTATATAAAACTTTATAATATATAATATCTAAAGTTATCAAATATTTGTATTTTATAAAATATATAAATATCATTACTAAGAAGTAAATACAAAATTTAATTTATAAATATGCTCAAAAAGAATTTATTTTATCATATTCATAAATTAAATTTTGTATTTATTTCTTTGTAAAGAAATTTATACATTTTGTAAAATACAAATATTTGATAACTTTAAATATTATGTATCATACAAATATATTTTATATAATAATTTTAATTAAGATTTAAATAATAAAACTAAAAAAACTAATAAAACTAGAATAAAATATTATAATTTATACTATTTAAAATTATTAAATATTGTTACCGTTTTAATATACTTTAGGTCCTGTTACGAGAGTACACGTGATAGAGTCAGGTGGGAGTTGATGTATTAAATAACTTTAAATTAGGAGAGTTTACTAAGTTATCTAAAGGTAGGCAATGTATGTTCGTTTTGTTGGTCAGCTAAAATGAGACCAGAAAGATTCAAAGGTAATTGTATATAACATAACTTTAACATAACTTTAACGTACCTTTTTGTCGATTGTTGAATTTTTGTGTTACACGTTGATATGCGTTGTGCGTTTAATTTGGATTTTTTGTTTGTGCTCGTAAACAAACATGTACGTAGTTATTTTCATTCGCGATAGAAAATCAAATAACAATATACTTTATAATGGAATAATATAAGATAGATCATTTCTCTTGCTGCTAAGACTTCTTTCCACATACCCATAATTATTAAGTTATACCTTCTATTTAACACGCCAATAATATAATATAAATGAGCATTATAGGTAAAATTCAAAGCTAAAAAAAATAATAATACAAATTCTAATATTATTCTGAAAATTATTTAGAATTAATACAGCTTTTTAAAGTCTCTATGGATCAAGAAGCTTCATTTTCAGATATCGAGAGAAAACTTAAAAATCATTTAGTAGAAAACCATATGCTCGATCGAGCTCTTCAAGCAATATTATTAAATTCATTATTGCCTTTGCATGTCACTGTGCTTGGTTTTTTGATTATTACCCGGACGATTAGAGATATTGACATTAATCCACTCATCGTACCTCGCGATTATCCCGAATCGAAAAAAATGTATGCGCGCCAATTGATTCACCAATCGGCAGATCAAAACGAAATGTATGCTCAA